ACAATAAAAATTCAATTGGATAATTTTCTTTATACATATTATGCAGTTATGCAGTTAAATTTACCTGAATAGACTCTATTTACCTGAATAGACTCTGTAGCATCTATCCATTTAAATAATTATAATCAATTTGAGCATAACTCTGGTAATCCTGAAAAGTAAATTATATAACATCGTTAATAATTCTCGGTGCGATTAAAATTAATAGCGTTTTCAACCGCAATGGGCTTCCCATCCAACTCGAAATTAGCGATGTCACATGCTGGAACCATTCGGTTAAATTCTAAAGAACATGTAATAAAATAAATTCAAATTGAGTTCAAACCCATCGCAGTCGAAAAAACGCTACAATTACGACCTATTATAATCAAAAGACAAAAAATAATTACAGGACAATTATCTCATCAGTAAAGACGGTCCCTGCTAACATCGCTTACCGACCCGTCACGAGCCATATTTTCGTGATATCCTATAGTCTCAAGGTAAATATGGAGTCTTTCGCAACAGGGAGAGTTCGGAAGATTCTGCATAGTATTTAGGCGATCGCGCAATCTCGCTCGGATACGGATCGGATTGCGACGGGTCACAAGTCACAAATCGCCGATTGCACCTGTTGTGACCTTCGCCGTTGCGTAAAGGGCACTGGTCAGCCGCTTTGGTGTCGCCGTAGTACGAGCAGTGCTCGAGGATCGACGCCAGGATGCTGCAAGTCGACGACAGGAAGGTAATCCCGGAAAGTAATCTCGAGTATTCCCCCGAAGTCTCGTCGCTGCTGCCGTCACTCGCCGACCGATCTTCCCGACGAATGCGTGCGCGACCCGCATTCTTCTCTCCCCGCTTCTCTTTTGTTTCACCGAGGTAGTCAAGGGCAGAACAGATACGGCCGTGGAAAAGAAACGAGGACGAGGCGCGAGTGGATCGCTCGGATCTATTTTCCGAACGATCGATGAGGTTCCATTCTCGGTCTCGGCACTCGACTTGCTAAAAACAACGGGATTCGCTTTGAGGTTAGGCGCGACGTTTCAATTATCGTTTTGCTTCGAGATGAGGGGGGGTTGTTTTTCTCTTTTTCTTCCTTTACCTGTGCTGCTAAAGCTCTCTTTCTCTCCCTTTCTCTTTCTCACCGAGCTTCAAATTTCATTTTGAATACAACGGGTGTACATCAGCTACAAGAAACAGATCTGATCTGACGTTTGACGGACGGCTTTCGTTATCTCGTGGTGACCTCGGAATCAAGTTTCAGAGATTAAACTTATCTACATTGTACTGTTATTACTTACGTAGCATTTTTTTCTAAGGTAGATAGAATGACCGTTAGTTTTTTTTTTTATTGCTTTTATATGACGAGAGAGATTAGATATTAAGAATGACGAATCATACGTAATCATCGACATCTTACTACGAGGACTTATTACATACTAATAAGCTTTCGAACGGTTGAATTAACCTATTTTTTTTTTTTTTTTTCCAAGACAAATTTCACAGAGGCATTCACATTACTTCTTTTCAGTACGACGCTATTTATCAACATTACCGATATAATTATAATTAATTCCATGCTATTATAATAAATTTGCCATTTGTTTTTAACTGACAGGAAAAAATAAAGTGCGCATTTGGAATATGCACGTACATATATACACATGACTTTTGTACACGTGATTGATATGAATCGCGTTATACTCCCGATTAAATAATTTACAAGAACTCGTTAAATGGAGCTCAATTAACAATCTGGGCATTCGTCCATTTGCAATAAAATACAGAGACAGTATAAATAATTTTGCGTTATTGCATTATTCATTTTTTTTCTTAAATGTTTTGAATACATCAGTTTCTTTTTTCCTTTTTTTTTTTTTTTAGAAGTTCCACGAAGTGGTGACATAGACGTTCAAAGGACGCATTATCACGTCATTTTATCTTCCTCTTTATTCATTAGATGTAAATTAAAGATAGAATAATGCGTTAGTACTAATAGCGGGCTCTCCCCAAAACTATAAATAAACGCGCGGTCTAAGAGTTCTTCTTAAAAATGCCGTCGCGCGTGTAAAGAGCTGGGGGCGTTTATTGGGGGAATTATTGACGGGTCTCGAGAATACAAGTCCGAAAATTCGCATAGTTCACGCAACCCGCGTCCGGAAAAGACGTCCCGTCTCATCCGTCCGCACGTCACGTGTAGACTCACGCGTTTACGTCGTGCCTGACGAGCGCGCCTCGTGCCGCTGCCGATCTCGTATGCGCGATGCTTCATTCCATGTTTGCCGATCATCCGCGCGTGTACAAGGCGGCGCACATGGAGTACTTGTTGCAAGTAAGTATAAGCCACGAACCTTCCCGCTCGATCGCGCGATCTCGATCTCCGTTCCCGCCCGGATTAAATCCGGAGGATCCCCGAGCGTTTCCTCCTCGCGGAAAGGATCTCGTGGAAAGGACCTCGCGTTCGAATTAAATCCTCACGGCCGAATTAAGTCGATAGAAATTTCCGAACGTTCCATCCTCGCTCGTGGCTCTTCGCGCTCGAATTAAATCCGAGGAATCCTCCGGCGTTTTTTCCTTCGGAAAGCATCTTGCATCTCTGAATTAAACTAGGTAGAAAGTTTTGGACGTTTCTTTCTCGTGGAGCGTTTGAATCTGATCCGAGGAATCGCCGAACGGAAAGGACCGCGCGCCTGAATTAAACCCGAGGGATTTGAGCATTTCCTCTCCGCGAAAAGGATCTCGTGCCCGAATTAAATTGGTAGAAGTCTTGAACACAAAATGGAACATCGAAAATGGAACTGATCGAAAGGAAGAATCTCACGTCCCAATTAAATTTCGGAGCATTTTTTTTCTCTCACAGAGAAGATCCCACACACAAATTAAAAGAACCTCCGAGCGTTTCCTCCTCGCGAAAAAATTCTTGCGTTTGAATTACCTCCAAGTATTACCTTCTTAAAGGATGTCTTTGAGAGAGACATCGTCGGCCTCCGGTTATTCGTCTAAACGGGAGAGGAGTAAATAAATCGGAAGAAGAAAACTCGACCATTAATAATATCGTTGTAAATTTCCATCACATGTAGAACTCGTTTCGATACATCAGTTGTTGGATATCCTCAGGCGATATCCGTACACGCGGTCGCTCGGATAAAATCAGAAAATAAGCCGCGAGGACTTCCACGCGTAATATAACGAAAACTCAAAGCAGAATTTCGATTCTGACAGAAGCCGGCTGACAAGGTACTCGACTGTTTACGCTGTAACTCTCACCTGCCGATTCACCGGCAAGGCGAAGTCTCCCACGCTC